ATTATGATTTGTAATTGAAGTGATAAAGCTATATGTAAAGTTTGGATCAATTTGAGTAATTTATTATTTTATTGGTTGTGCAGTGAAAACGAGCAACTTGAAAGTGTCACACCTCCTTTTTACACCCCCCGAGAGGGTATATAAGGGAGTTTTTCCAATTAACGTGACATTATTCGAAATAGAATTATTTATTTAAATCAGAGTCGCCACTTGGAATAGTTTAATTTGGTGTCCCAAGTCACCGGTTTATTTTAAAATCTCAAATCGAGGAAATTCGACTTTTATTTTTAAAGTCTGCGAACCAGAAATTCTAGATAAGGAATTCTGTTAACCCGGGAGAAGGTGTTACGCATTTCCGGGTTCTGTGGTTCTAGCACGGTCGCTTAAACTATTAAAATTGGCCTATTATCTGATTTACTACATGTTTTAAATCTATTGTGCATTTTTAACTTATTAACCGCTTTTAATTATTTTTAAAACACTTTTAGGAAGATTCAACGTTATTTAAAACATGCCTTGAACCACGCCACATGAAATGCATCCGCGGTTCGGGACACGTTCTATTTAACATTGTTAAGAATTGAAATTGGGTCACATGAAATGTACACCCGAATTTAATAATTAAAAGAAAACCAATTTAAAGAACGCGCCTAAAGCAACTACGAAGGTTCAAATTAATAAAAAAATTTGTGAGGGCCATGGAAAGTTTAATTGATGGCACACCTCGGTTTTTAAAGAGTTAGTATTAATTACGTGAGGGCCATGAGTTTATTTAATGAAAATGGCACACCTCAAATTTTCTATTAAAAGCCAACTAGTTTTATGAGGGCCATAGACTTAGGGATTTTATTTGGCATGTCACGCCTCAAACTATTTCAAAGGGTTTTATTATTCGAAATTGTTATAATCGGGTTAAATGAAATGCACCCCGAATTGAAATTCACGTATCGTGACCATGCCACGGGAACCGTACCCATTGTCACGATGATTTATAACTAAACAAATGGAATATTAAACCAACATGAACTATAAACTAACATGGGAAAACAAACTATTTTTCTAAAGCACGAAGTTAAATTAGCTTTAAACAAATGAGGACACATATAGGGAAATTTTATTATTAAAAAAAAAAAAAAAGCAACAGTCATTAACGAAAAAACAGAGTAGCCACGACTATGGCTTTTCCACAAGGAACGAAACGAATTCTGTTCCATCAATTATTCAAACGGGCGTGAATGAATTGGCTTAGCCTCAATCATGGCCAGAAAATTTTTAACAATCCATTTGCAGCTTAAACTCAAAAAAAAAAGATGGCAAAAGAAAAAATCAAGTAGGAACACACAACTAAATTCAGATATACATAAAAATTTGTGTTGACATTTCTTCAAAATACAACAAATTTTCGCGGATATAGGTTAGCTATATATATTGATTTCGATCTGCTTAGATTACCAAATATACCACTGGTTCATTCTCAAATTCCAACAAGAATTCTCATTTGCGTCCTGACATTTATGTGCAATTTACCTAAAACTAGGTGAGCAAGAAAAATTATAAAAGCAAGTGTCAATGCTTTAATTTCCAACACCAATCAACACATATGCTGTTCCAACAGAATTTTTGATTAGAATGTCCAAAACGCTAATTACCCAGTTTCAGAAATCGTTTGACATATATAGGGCATATAATTTGGAAAACTTAATACCTTTGCCATAATGTGCATTTGAGAAGGAAAAGGAAGAGCTCATCAAATCCGAAGAAATAAACCCAGCAAACACATCTTCTTTACACCAAAAAAAAGCTTCGATTGACTGAAATTTTCAGCAATTACACGAGCAAGGTGAGCCAATAGCTAAAGTCGAAATCTGAAATGGATGGAACTCAAGCGAAACAACTTCAAACAGCAACTCAACTCAATCAACCTCCATATGTGAAGCCCAAATCAACTAAGAAGTAGAAACTTAAAATATTTTGGAATTTTTTGTTAAAATTTCGGACATCAAACATCTTAAAGAAAGAAGCATCATATTACATGTTTCTGCCTTTTTCTAAAAAATCCAAAGAAATGAAAGAATCAAAAGGAAATTCCAAAAATTCTCAAAGTTTTCCATTTGTCCTCTCGTTCTCTGTTGAAGGAGGAATGCGCCATTTTTTGGTTCTTTTCAGGGAGGGGAGGGGAGGCGGTGGCTCCTCAATTTTTGGGGGAGCTCGTTCTGGTCCAAAAAAATGGAAAAAAAAAAAACAAGGAGGGAATTTGGTGTTTTTAGATGATGAAGATGAAGAAGACCAAAGGAGGGGTGGTGCCTGTTGTGTTTGTCTTTTTGAAAATGGGGGAGCAGCTTTTCTCTGTTGTCGTTTCTTTTCTGAAAAAATCAAGAAGAAGCCTTGGAAATGGGAGGTGCTGTGGGCCGTTTCTTAGGGGTCTCCAAGAAATAGAAAAATCTTATTTTTGTAGCCTAAAATCTTATCCCTATACACGTCTAAGTATGGGTTTTAATCGAAAGGGGATGGGTTTTGGGCTGATGGGTTCAAGTGTATTTGGGTTGGGGTTGGTTTAAATTTGGGATTGGTTCTGAGTTAGCTTTTGGGGAGAATTGGGTCAATTTGGTACAAAGAGTTAACCCAAATTCATATTAAAACCCCTTATCAATTACCTATTTTATTCCTTTTTCCTTTATTTTTTCTTTTTATTTTTTTCAATTAATTAAAATCCTAAATTAATCTATTTTTTTAGAAATTAAAATTCTTTATTTATTAAAATAACTAATTAACTTAAGACTAAAGAAAAATGCTAATTTTAAAGACTAAAATCTTATTATGTAAAAATGATAATTTTTGTGATTTTTTGCTTAATAAAATTAATTCTCACATGCAAATTATACCTAAGATGACATGGAATAAAATGTGACAATTTTTAATAATTTTTCTATGATTTTAAAATATTAAAAATGCATGAAATGCAACTACATAAAGAAAAAATCCTAAAAATCAATTAAAAAAATTGGTCTATTTTAGGAGTTATTTTCATGTAGGGCAAAAATCACGTGCTCACACCTGGTGCCCACACATGGGATCATCCCCACGCATGTGCGCACCCAAAAGCATGTGGCTATCACAACAATTCAAGCAATTGGTGCATCAACCAAGTTTAAATACGATATTTACCTCAAGCAACTCGAATCACTTCGCTAGCAAGCTCTTGCCTCTTGAATCGGTCTACGAATGCCTTGAATCTAGCAATAAACAATTCGATACAATCAACACGAGCTAAAGGAATCAATTCCATAAGAAAAATACTAAGTTCATAATTAAAAGTCAAAAAGTCAACTCGAAAGTCGGCCCACTAGCCCACGTCTCAGAATCTAATAAGAGTCAAAAAAATCCGGAAGCCCATTCAACCACGAGTCTAACCATACCAAATTTACCAAAATCCAACACCAAATCGACACCCAAATCCCCAATCTAAGCTCTCTAAATCCCTAGCTACAAACTCCCAAATTTACACCTCAAAATCATACAATCTAGGTGGGAAATTCAATGGGGAAACATAATTATTGAATAAATTTAACCACAAGTGGCTTACCTCAAGAATCCTTTTGAAATTCCTCTTAAAAATTGCCTAATCCTGAGCTTGAAATGTCCAAAATGATGAAAAACACGGAACCCTCGATTTTAATACATTGCCCAAGCATTCTCGCACCTACGACAACTTACCCGCTTCTACGGTGTCGAAGAAGCGACAATTCTTCCACGTCTGTGGTGAGCTACTGGAAACCAGCCTTCGCACTTGCGGATTATGCTCCGCTTCTGTGCAAACGTAGGTGCGACCATCTTTCCCGCTCCTACGCTGCCCCCTCACTTCTGCACTTAACTTCACAGCATCTGCGACCATGCAGGTGCAGACAATTCTTCGCACCTGCCACTATATCATTCTTCATTCCTGGCCGTATCTGTGCTTCCCAGCTCGCACATGCGAGCTAGCACCTGCGATCAAAGCTCCGCAAGTGCGATTGCACCAGAAGACTCCTAGCTTCAACAACTCTTTAACTCCAAACCTTGATCCGTTAATCATTCGAATTCTACCCGTGTTACGACCCCAAGCCGAACCCGGTCGTGATGGCGCCTCTTGTGAAGACAAGGCCAGCCGACACAATTTCCAAATTTAGTTTTAACAGTTTAATAAATCAATTTAAGTCATTTATAAGGGTAAATCCCCAACAAGTACAGATTTAGCAAAAATAAAACAAGTGCGGAAATAAATACAGCCCGAGATCGGAGTATCACAAGTCACGAGCATCTACTAGGGTCTAAATACAACTGAAAAGTCTGAAATGTACTAAATACAGACTAATGATATAAAGAGGGAGGAAAGCAGCGCTGCGAACGCCGGCAACTACCTTGCTAAACTCCGATGACTTTACCTCCGATCAACTAATACCCGCTACTGGGTTCAGAGATACCTGAATCTGCACAGAAGGTGCAGGGAGTAAAGTGAGTACTCCAACTCAGTGAGTAATAATCATAACTAAAGTCTGAATGGTAAGAAATCACGAAAAGTGCATCAACATGCTGTATAGAAGCAGTACAAAACCAGTAAGAAAACAATGAAGCTGTAAAATTTCTTAAAACATCTTAGCTCAGTTTAAACTTCTTTGAAAAATAACTTTTTCAACATGTACACAAATGAAAGCAAAACAATTAGTGCAGGTAAGCATAGAAAATCCGCCCCTCGGGCACAAATACACAATTAAATAGGTAGATGACAGGCAAATAAGAAAGATAAGTACATAAGGTTTGCCCCTCGGGCACAGTGTCAACAAATCCGCCCTCGGACAATATCTCATAACAATACCAGCCCCTCGGACAATTACATAGAACAATACCAGCCCCTCGGACTATATCTCACATCACAATGGGTACCCGCACTCACTGGAGATGTACAGACTCCGGGAGGGCCCCCTTACGGCCCAAGCGCAATGTCAAGCCATCTCGTGGCATCAGAAACAGGCTCTCGGTCTCATATCAATATCAAGCCACCTCGTGGCGCACAATCTCAGGCCCTCGGCCTCATTATCATAATCAGTATCTCACTGTTGCGGCGTGCAGCCCGACCCAAAGGTATCCTCACAATACAGGCTCTTGGCCTTACTCAGTAAAGTCTCACATAAGCCACTCGGGTAACAGTAAAACATGATGCTCAACCTAAAAATATTATTTGAAATATCATTTCAAGTGCTAAAGCAAAGTAAACATGGTTGAGTTCTGAAAACAGTGAAAAATAACATGACTGAGTTCAAGTATAAAGTCAAAACAGGGAGGAAATATCAATAAAAATACCCGAAGGGTTCAAATAGTTAGCACGAAGCCCAAATATGGCATTCAGCTCAAATAATGATGAAAGCAAATAGATTTTAGTCAAATACGCGATAAAATCATCAATCGGTACGGACCAAGTCACAATCCTCAATAGTGCACGACCCCACGCTCGTCATCAAGCGTGTGCCTCACCTCAATATAGCACTACGATGTGCAAATTCGGGGTTTCAAACTCCCAGAACATCATTTACAATCATTACTCAACTCGATCCGGTCCAAACTCTAGCCCGCGATGCCTCGCCCGCACGAATCGACCTCCGGATGCTCCAAATGTAGCCACAATCAGTACATAATCATTAAAATATGCTAAGGGAACGAAGCCAACTTGAAAATATCCAATTTAATATTAAAATCCCGAAATTGCTCAAACCCGTCCCCCCGAGCCTACATCTCGAAATTCGATAAAATTAACATCAATGGAATTCTCATGCTCTCACGAGTTCATACATATCAAGAACATCAAAATCGGACCTCAAATGGCCCCTCATCCCCACTCAAAGGTCTCTTAATCTCAAGCCCTAATTACCATTTTTGCTACTGATTATCCATGGATTTCAAGCTTACAATGTTAAAATTCATCATAGAAACAAGTTTAAGGTCCAAAAATCTTACCTCCATGAAATCCTCTTGAATTCCCTCTTCAATTAGCTCTCCCAAGCTTTCTCCCGGATGAAATATGGTGAAAACCCTTTCAAAATCGCGAAGGGTGAAATATATACATTCTGAACCAGGCATTTCCATATCTGCGGTCAATCTACCGCATCTGTGGTTCCGCTTTTGTGGTCAATGAACCGCTTTTGCGGTTTTCATTAAAGCGACCCAAAATCGCATATGCGATGAAATAGCCGCACCTGAGCCTTCGCAGATGCGGTCCCACAACCGCTTCTGGGGTTCCTGCAACCTCACCAGCTTTCGCTTCTGCAACCAATTCTCTGCATATGTGGCGTCGCACCTGCGGTCCCCAATCCGCAGGTCCGGAAATACTAGAAGCAGAAAATCTGCAGCTTCTTCAAAAATTCCCAAACTCTCCGTCAACCATCCAAAATCACCCCGAGGCCCCTGGGACCTCAACCAAAAGCACAAACATAACCCATAACCTTATTCAAACTTATACCAAACTTCCAAACACCTGAAACAACATCGAATCAACCAAAACACATCGGATTCAAGCCTAAGATTTCAAAATCTTCCAAATTGTGCTTTTGATAAAAAACCCAACCAAACCACGTCCGCATGACCTGAAATTTTGCACACATATCCCAAATGACACAATGGTACTACTGCAACTTCCAGAATTTTATTCCTACCTCTATATCAACTAGTAGGGTTAGCCCGGGCCCAAGATGAACAACCTTAACGTAAGGGAGTAAGGGTAATATTGAGTGGATGGGCTTTCATTTTAGATCTTGATAGTAAAAAAAAATTTTAGAGTACATTTGTTAGTACTAAGCTAAGCTAGTATATTATTTTTTGTAGGTATGCAGTTGTGATTTCACTATTGGATTAGAGCTACAGTGAAACGCTTTAAAGTTTTGGAGGTATGATGAAAACATAAATGTATATATAATGGGAGCTATTTGAATTTACCAAATTATTCAAAGAGTTAGTTTGCATAGCTAACAGTAAACAATTCACGAAAATCTGCGTTGTTGTTTATACAAAATGCGAAAGATTGTACTTACTAAAATCTGCCTTGATAAGAGTCAGTTTGTCTAGCTATTTACACAAAATATGAAACATTGTACTGCAGTAAACAGTTCACGAAAATCTACGTACGTATTTACACAAAATGTGGAAGACTGTATTGTAGTATAATAATACCACCAAAATCTGCGTTAAATGCAAGCTGTCAAAGCCTATTGAGGCGACCTTTGTTGCGCTTCAAATCTGATGAGGCATCTGTATGAACGACAAATTGAGAGTTAAGTGTAGAAGAGTAGTTGAGAATACGTAATTTGGACCAAGAATTGTAAAGACATTGGACATAGATTTTGTTTTGAATTGTTCGAAAATTCTGAAATTGTAGTATAGCGCGAGCAACACAGGCTTTATCGTATAAGCA